AATAGTTTGCAACACATCCGTACCCCATTTCTTCAACACCTATTTCTTTTTAGCAGAAGTGTAAAATAGTGAAGTTCCACACCTTTTCAACATTTTAATTTCTTCGTGGGAAGATACACTTCTTTCTAAGTCTAATTTAGTTGCACAGAGAATTAAAGGTATTTCATCGTGAGTATCTATTTTTAAAATTTTGTAAACATCTTCTCTGTATTTCCATACATTTTCAAGCGATTCAAAGTCATTTATTGCATAAGCTATCATATATAAATTAGATTGTGTAATACACAATACCTGAAAATAATCTGATATATCTTCATTGTTAATTTTAAAAAACATCACATCAAAAATGTTGTCTTTATATGTTATTGTTTTATGAAATTCATACTCAACAACTGGATCGTAAGTACATTTAAAAAAAAAGCCAGTACACAACCGTTCTAAAAGATGTTTACGACCAACACGATTATCTCCAAAAACAATAACACGAAGAATTGGATAATTGCTAATACTCATTTTTTAAAATTATTTAGTTCATTAACTCCTTTATTTGTTATAATTAAAACTATAATTCTTTATACTATTATATAATTATTATTATTATTTAATATTAAATAATTTTAAAATCATTCGACTGTTTTTTATTTTGTGAAGTTTGTCTCTATTTAGCCTTCGATTCTTTTTTTTTGGATATAACAATTATTAAAACAAATGTTTTGTTTATAAAAACAGTGAATTCCGTTCGTGGTTAAGCCTTCGATACCAAAAATTTCCAAAAATGTATACTTATTTATATCTTATTTATTTTAAGTAAACATTAGAGAGAAATAATGCAAAAAACGCTTTAAACTTTTTACAACCATGGTGAATACCAGAAAACAGAAATAACAGTAAAAATTAATTTGATTTAAATAGCGGGGAAAAGTCACACCAGAGGAAAAAACCACACCATAATTCTTTTCCTTTTTTATATTTTGATATAACAAAGTTGGAATACATTGTTGTATCTTATTTGTCAAAAAATGGATAATATAAATTACTTTTATGTTAAAAGATTTTTATTATAATACTTATATAATTAAATATAATATAATTTATATAAATATTAGGGTGCGCAACCGTTGACTGGTGCTTTGCTGTTATTTAACTGATTTTTTCCCGAAAAAAAATGTAATTATAATTGAAAATAACGTGAAAAGGGTTTTATCAAATTTCGTTTTTTCTTTTTATACAAGACAACAATTAGGAAAAAATAAATGGGAGCTGTGTAAGATAGATTTACTGAAATCGCAATTTTGAAACTAATTACATCAACATTGTCTATAATATGATTAACTGAAAATGTGTATACAACAATAATAAAATTGAAAGAACTAATAATTTTAAACCAAAAAGTAGTTTAACAAAAAATATTAAATTAATAAACAAAAATGTTTGTATTATCCAAAACAAATAATTGGTATTTTTTATGATTAAACAAATTATCTTAAGTTTGAATATAAGGGCAGTCTTTTAATGTTATCTGGTGAACAAATAAATTGCAATAATTGTATATAAACATCACATTAAGTAAAACGCAAAAAATAAACAATTGGGATATATCTTTTGTACAACTTTTCGAAATATTTTAATAATCTAAAAAGGTACATGATAAACTTTAAAAATAGACTGTAGATTTATTCACAGCTTCTATATTTTACATCATAACTTCAAGTTTAATTAATACATAAAAAACATAAAAAGGGTGTCCAAGAAAACAATTAAAAATCAATTTATACAATCACCATCGGATCATAATTTAAACAATTTATTGCATATTACATTTA